TCACCCGTACCCAAGGAAGTAACCCCAAAATCCCGAACCCCCTTGGCGGGGGGGGGCCCCCCCTTCTTGGGGCTCCCCAAATACCCCCCGGGGCTTCGCGTTTGGGGATGTGGGACCCTGGTCCGGGGAAAACCCGGGGGGTTCCGTCCCGGCTTTTTAGGGGGGGGGGGTCAAGGGTAAAAGGATTTCGGCAGGCCCGATTTTGGGGGGCCCCCCCCCCCCCCCCCCCTCTATCGGAAAAAAAATTCGAGGGTGGCGTGGGTGGGAAAGACGACAACACTAGCTCCTCGGAACAGAACGTCTTAACAGGTAGTAGCTGGCAGTGTTGTCCACTCGTACGTTTAGCAGTCCCTGTGCTCCAGCACTGATGATGCTTCAACGTGATCGGGCGCAAACGGAATGTCCTGCGAGCAGCTGCCTTCTCTCGGTGCGCATGCCTCCTCTTCTATACGCACGCAGACATCCTCTTTGGCACATAATAATAAATGCTCACTTCTCATCAACTCCAATAAACACCAATTTCAGACTCCTCCCCCCTTAGGTTGGATCCATCTGAAATACTCGCTTTATTGTATTTTTCCGAAGTGTCATTTTTATTATTATTTTCCACGAAGTCTGGAAGGTAACTCTCTGGCCAATAACGAGGGGACGACACCGGTCGCTTCCCTCTCTCCTCCAGAGTCCAAGTTCCCCTTCCATGTCAACTGGCAGGCCCTAACAAAATGCCGTCTCAGTACACCGAGATCCCCAATGGTACTCCATACCATTGACATCCACCAACATCGACGTTTTAGTGGGATGGCATTCTGTCCCCTTGCCCGTACCTTCGTGTATGCTAACCCTTCTTCTGCTCCGTCTTCTTCCCCTTCGCTAGTTTACGGGATACCATGTCTACGTCCACCATATTATTCCTAGTATACATTTTAAACGTACCCGAACCTTCCTTCCATCTACCCTCTCTCTGTATAATTCTGTCCGGTACGTCTCCTCCTGCTGCCAACGTGGTGGCGGCCCCAATTCTCAACGAATGCAAGCCGACCTGTCTCGGGTCGCCACCTGCCTTCTCCACAATCTGGCGAAGGGCGCTAAGAGCTTTGGAATAACCCCAAACCTTCACCGTATTGCTCCTCCTACAGCGAAACGAGCACAGAGGGGCGTCCTCAGGTAAAGCGAGATGGCACGCCATCAATTCCACCAACACCGCCACGGCACCGCCACCGGCTCCAATCTGAGAACTCGCGCCTCGTGCTACATCGCGCACCCGTGTAACGCACGCCCCCGTCTCCGACTGATCCCCCTTGTGGCCGCGAACCCGAACCCGAACTCCTGTGGCCTTGTGCCAGTGTAACGGGGCAAGCACGTACTCCCCATGAAAGAATGCGACGTCGCTACGCCGCAAACAATGCACCTGGTGGCATTGTCCCGACAGTGTGGCAAAAACCTCATCTGAACGCGCCACCAGGAAGTACGACAACGCCAAACACAGCCACAACACGCGGCCACCTGTACCCCACGATGCCGTCAACTGCTGTCCTTCCAACAGCGTTTCCCACGAGACGGGAACACGACTCCGACTCTTCGTACCCGCTCGAACGTGAACACGTGCGACACCCAACAAACTCCGTTTGATAAGAGGCGCACCGGTAGGCAACTCAAGCTGCTTGTGAACTCGATGAAAGTACTGTACCGCGGCGAGCTTGCCGGATATGGTCGGTGCGATGTTACCCTTATCTGCACAACACCACGCCACAAACTCCAAAAGGGCTTGTTCCAGCCCAGCACTGTCCACATCCCCCGAGAGGTACTCCGACTCGCCAATCATGCGGCGAAAAGCACACCAAGCCCGCCAACCCGACAGGTAAGTTCGTCGAGACGACTGCGCAACTGACTCGCGGACATACTCGCCGCTAAGACGCCGGTACAAAGATCGGCGACCTCCTGGCTCAAGACCTGTTGGCGCCAGGCGACATTGGGACGGGACAGGCGAAGACGAGCGTCAATGGTCGCCGGCTCCCATCGTGAAATACCATCTGCAATCGTGTTATCGACCCCTCGAACATGAGCCGCCTCAAAACACCATCCGCTGCCCATCTCCAAACATCCTAGCATACGCATGAGTGCCCCCGATCGGGGCTCGCTCCCCCCCCGACACTTGTTCACCCACGCCACACTCGAAGAGTTGTCTCCCATCATACGGATGCTATTGCGGGCGTATTCTGGCCTCATGTCCGATTGTACAATGAACACCCAGGCGCCAACTACCATCGCGAGGAGTTCGAGCATGTTGATGCTCAGATCGTCGCGCCCCTCGGCCTGCTGGCGAAACCTCTCCCGTACTTCTGGACTAAATTCAAAACGCCACCACACGCCAGAACGGAATTCGGCATGCAAGAAATACCCTCCCATCGCATCGCCAGATGCGTCCGACCACAAAAGACACGAATATGGTTGATCGAAAAAACATACCAGTGGGGCTGTTAACAACCGCGACGGCGATCCCAGGCCCCCTTCGACCATCAGACGCCAAAACCGCATGTCGGCATGAAACTCGGGACCGATCCGTTTCCGTGCCACCCCCCGGGCGGTCAATTGCACCGGCGGCAGCCCCAACTGGTTGAGCATGCGGCGAACAAAATATTTACCCGGCCGCACGACCTCACAGATATGCAACAACGAACCAATCACCCCCCGCAACTCGGACTCAGAAGCACAGCATCGTGTGGGGGGCCACTCACGGATGGTCGCCCGCAGACGTTCCAGCTTGTCTGTGGGAACCGAAATGGTCATGGCCACCGTATCAATGTCCCACCCGAGCACACACAACCTTGTTTGCCACGAGGAAAGTTTACGCGGAGACAACAAGGGGGGGTCTTTTGACCCGCGCGCCCCAAACACCCGGAAATGGTCCGATGCACACGACGCGGAAGCTACTTTACACCTGGCCCCAGTCGGGCTCCACATCACTTCCACAAGAATACCATCGTCTACATAGAACCGCACGAAAAACGAGTCGGAACGACCGCCCCCCAAACCGGGGGGGATGCAACACCCAGGGGAATGGGGGTGGCGTCTCTCGTTCGCTAGGTAACGGAACCTCAACATGGTTCGTAGCCGTCCGGCCAAGCTCAGTGACAACTGCATTATCCACAGACGTGTGATTGTGAGAGTGCTCCAACGCGGCGGTCATGACACAAAAATTGCCAGGCGAATTGCGCCACCCAAACACCAAGCGCCGATCTACCACGACAAAGTCCCCAACTGAGTAACCAAACACGGGAGCTCCCGACCATTGAACCGCAACCTGTCGAAACGCGTCCGTAACGTCAATTTTGCTTAACACAATCCGGGCCGATGGTCCGTACGTCCTCCGCAACCATAAAATGCGCCACACAATGTCCCGCAACACGTGACCTAACTCGACCTTCGGCACCGCCTCCGAATCCGTGTCGGCATTGACACTACGCGACACGGGTGAGCATTCATACGTCAAGTCATGGATAATCCGAATTTTCTCAGGCGACACGACCACACCTAGCGGCGACAGCCGCAACCCCGGGATCGATTCGGCCGCTTTCTTTGGAAACACGAACGCCCGCCCAAACCGCACGTCATCAAACACTTTCCCGAGAATAGTGTCAGAATGTGGGGCTACACTACGGTGGTTACCATACGATAGCGCTGCTGCGATTTCGGCAGACCCACACACGGGCACTACGGCGCCACGTTCCACAATAGCAGCGACAGTCTCTGTGTGAGGAAAACCTTTCAAGCGTCCAAACCAAAACCGAATGAATTCAGGCCGTACCCGCGGCACCCCGATGCCGTTTTCGATGGCTTGCATGCATTCAAAACTTCCCCCATGCCGAGACAAAAACCGAAAACACTTCGCCGCGATTTGAGCAAGTACGGTTGCACGTGGTGTGCCTTGCGCGACGGTTTGAGACATAGCATGTACCATGGAAACAATACGCCTAACATCATTGCCATCGAAAGTACCAACC